GAGAGAGAGAGAGAGAAACTTCACATATTCTCTTTTGTAAAGGAGAGAGGGGCGGCTGGGAATTCCACATTGTAGAAAGTATGGCGATTAATAAGTGATTCCAATCAATTTAATTTCATTTTCTTTTTTTTGTCAATTTTTGGATTATTGTGGCAATGATTTATCTGTGAATGGTTTACTGTTATCAGTTTCTTCTTTCTTTGTTCAGGAAGTAACACCAGCTCCTGCATTCCCTCTCATGATCTGGATGGCTGTAATTGCTCTCTTTATTAGTATGCCCAGCTGCTATTATATCTTATTCTCGTCTTGTCCTTTTATAATCGATGTTTGGATTAGACATTAGTTGTTTAATGGCCGTCATACTCTACCACCACTTGCAGATTGAAGGATCTTTACCAGTGGGCAGCAAGACTAACACCTTCAGGATCTTTAGCTGCTGCACCAAAGAAGTGCAAAAGCCGATTATTAGAAAGAGGACTTACTGAAATATTGCAAATTGTTATTTGGACTTTGAAGTCTGGTTGACCAGCAACGAGTTAATTCTTTGCATCTCATGCAAGGCCTTTTCTGTTGGAGACTTCTAATGTGGAAGCCTATGGATAATCATTTATGGAACAATCAATATTTTTGGTATCAGTCAGGTCGTCTTTAAGAAGACTTGTCCATCATTTTCTTATTTGTGGAGACTTAGTTTATTTTCTCATCTGTGGAGACTTATTTGGGAATGGTGTCCTACTGTTGAATTCCATTGCTAGATTCTTCCTACATATTAGTAAGAACATGGTTTGTAATTGTGTGGCAATGTTGGTTTCCCTTGTAAGTTTTTTTATCCATATCGATTGTTTATTTGACTATAAATATCTGGAACAAGCTTTTGATTGGTCTTATTCAGTGAGAAGACTTATGGGCAGCAATATGCATTTTAATTACATTTAAAATATTTTCATACATTTCTCGGCACGAAAGTGAGAAATAGAGAGGAGATATGATAGCATCACATTGTGATTGTTTTGTAAAAGCATCAACTCTTGCCAAAAAAAAACAAGTGAATTTGTTTTGAACCAACCAATGAATAATATAGTGAGATAAGAGCTATATATGTGTTCCTATGCTATCTCAAGGACAGGCTTTACGAAAAAACAACCAAAAATAAAATTTCCCTCGACAGAAAGGACCTAAATTAAGAGAGATATGCATGACTTAGAGGCCAATATATCAAAACTTAGATCAAAATAATTCCTTGATGAACAGTCTTGAATAGGACAAGCTTTTTTTTTGTTAAGTATAGGACAAGTTTCAGATCTTGGACTAGCATCTCTTGAATGAGTCCTCTCTAGTTCATGCTCTATTGTCGACTTAGCTTGTGCAATCAAATCTACCTACAAATACCACAATTTTTTGTTAAGTGGGTCTGCTTATGGATAGAAAAAGCAAAACACAACTCTAAAGAAAAGTAAATAGTTACGTGACACTGTTTGCACAAATGCTACACAGTATACTAAGATTGCTTGTTCTAATGTTACATAGTTGCACTATTCAAAAAGATGTTATTGAAGGGAAGGGCTTTAAGTATTCCATCTTTTTAACAAAGGGCCTGCACCATGCTTACTCTCGTACGCAATGCTTTTTCAATGGTACATAATAACTTCTTACCTTGTGCTTTTGTGCATTTAATTTCACTTGCTTCCCCTGTTTCTGAGAACCACCAAGTTACACGTCCGGTTCATAAAAAAACCAATTCATAATATTTAATATGAATTTGCAGCAAGGAATATGTGTGTGTGCGAGAGAGCATCTGTATTAGTTGCATGTGAACTTTCATTACTTCTATGTCTCTCTCATTGACATTCTCACATAACAGTACTCGTGTCCTCATGTATTTGCGTCTCTCAGCATTATCTTACATCTCCTAAGAAAACAAAAGATTGAATATTTCTAGCCATTGCCGACATTAGCGAGAATATGGTGCCACTAATCACAAGAAAATGGAAGATCAGTTGAAACTTAGAAACAAAGTGGAGCAAATCACGATATCGCATGTTTGGCAAGCTCTGTGAAGTTATAGTAAACGTGGGAGAGAGAGGAATGGGGGGTAGGGGTGCAGAGGCAGGGGATTGCAAGGTGGGGCACGAGTGAGACATCAAAGGGGCGCAAGCAATGTTCGTAAAATCGGCCGATCTAACTGCTAACTGCCTGGTTAGATCAGAACTAGCCACTGGATTAGTTCTGGTTTTAAGCGGTTTTGGTGATCAACCAATATTTTAGACTTTAAATAGAATATTGCCTCAAATATATATTAAATATATTAGAATGGTTTATTGGTTAGTTTTGATGATTAAGTTTCGAATCCCGCATTTTTTTTTAAGACATCATTTCGTTGGACTTCAAAAGAGCTCAAGTTTTAAGACTTCATTTCGTTGGACTTCAAAAGAGTTCAAATTTTTTAAACTTTATTTCGTTGGACTTCAAAAAAAGTTCAAGATTTAAGACTTCATTTCGTTGGACTTCAAAAGAGTTCAAGATTTAAAACTTCTTTTCATTGGACTTCAAAAGAGTTCAAATTTTTAAAACTTCATTTCGTTGGACTTCAAAAGAGTTTAAAAAAATTACCAGGCCCACTGGAATCAAACTAAAAACCTCTTACGAAGAGGTCATGTAATATTAGGTGGCACTAACCAATACACCATTTACTACCTAGCTGACAAAAAGAAGGACCTATATTATGTAACTTATTTTTTCTTTATTTTCTTAAAAAAAAACAGAGTTAGTCAAGTCTATTTTTTAACACTGTTTTAATATTCTTTACATTATAGTAAAGATTAAAAAAAAAAAGTGGTCATTAATATTCACGTTTATATTTTCCCGATCTTTTTCAAAAAAATTAAAAATACCTCTAGGCACAAATCAATTCATTAAAATTCATTTTTTTAATTAATTTTCAACTTCATTTGAGTGTGTTTTGTTTTAGTAATCATTCATTATATGCTTTTCATATTTTAGTAGATTTTTTTTTTATCTTTTTTTTTTTCAACACTTTTTTGACCGTCTGGGACTTGCCCGGTTAGAGTGATTGAATCGGCCGGTTGACCAATTAGACAGGTTAAACGCTTTTGGGCCCATGTCCGGTTAACCATTCCAGTTCGTTTTGCGAACATTGGGCGCAAGGGTATCTAAGTGGATCGGGCGTGCATTGAGATTAGCACTCAAGGAGTCATCAATAATGATAAGTTAAGATTGGCAATGGACCGGGTGGCCCAACCCTAATAAACTAGGGCTTGGGCCACAAAATGTGGCTCGAGGATTAGGCTGGATCATGCCAAGGTTAGGGCCACAACAGGGCCGGTTTTAGCCCCTCCCCACGCTAATGGTGTTAGAACCTGTTTGGACGATGGCCTCTTTGGCCAAGTCTTGGCCGGGCCAGGCCTTAATAGAACAAGGCTAGGCTAGGGCCAAGGTAGGCCCCAGCCGTTGCCAGCCCTAGTAAGAAGTGAACTGGTTTGATGGTAACCTAGATTTTTTTGGATGCTGGAAACTCTTTTTTTAAGCACTGAAATTTCACTTCTCAAACAAGATTCCAATTAGATCCATCTGAAAAATGGCAAAATAATAATAATTATTATTATTTATTTATGAGTTGTTCTAGGCTATACCATTTTAAAAGTGTACATAGAATTTCTTACTCTGAAATGCTTTACTATCAAATGCTCTTACAAATTAAAAAAAGGAAAAAGTTTATATAAGGTTGCAACTTAAAATGTACAATAAAATGTTATTTTAATGTTAAGAAATCCTCTAATTGATCATTTCAACATCGAGATGTATGGATGTGAAAAAAAAAATATTTTGAGTCCCAAAAATAGTGCATCTTGCAACACATTATCTAGAACGTCCATTTTCGAGATTTTCATATGTTTATAGATCTACGTAATTTTAACTATTTTTAGAGTTTAAAATTTTATAATTAGATATGAAAATAGATTTTCAAATAATCCTAAAAAAATTTAACACCAAAACTACATGTTATGATCAAATTTGGAGGTGCGCCTTAATTGGATTGTTTAAAGTTGCATCCTTATAGAAATCACACCCATTCAGAAATGATATTAACAATAAGATCATTTGGAATTTGACAAAGGGGATACTTGTAACATTAAATTATTTCTTAAATTCAATTATAATTGAAAGTGAAAAAATCTTTTTAAGATTGAAATAGACTTGCGGACGGATTTTAAAATGATAAAAATAAACCATCCCAAAATTCATGAGCTGGTTATGGTCAAAATTATTTTTGGACATATAAAGGCATTTTCTGGCAAAAGAAAAAAATTGAAGTAAGAAATTCAAAGTTGATTATTAGAGTGGCATATCCTATCCTAGTATAACCCTATGTTCATTAGAAAATTAACGTAAATATCTTTTTTTAGGGATATTTAGAAAAGCACGAAGTTTCTATAAGGCCTAGGCTTTATAAAAACAAAATAAAGCCTCCCATCAAATCCTCATCCAGAAAGCACTTTTGGCAATAGAAATATCCATGATTGCTCTAAAATTAATTTCCATCACCAATAATAAAATTTGAAATAAAATGGCACCGATGTTGCAGATCCATGAACACTTTTTTTAAGGCGAATGGACGGTCTAGATAATGTGTTACAATATACAATATTTTTGGAGCTTAGAATCCGAATTTTTTTCACACGATGTAAAGGTTTTCCATTACTTGAATTGCAATTTCAATGAGTTCTAAAGTGAGGCTTTACTTATTTTGATAGGGCATCCTTATCAAACTATTTTTTTAAAAAAAAATATCCCCACACTTTTAAATTTCATATATATGCCCCCTTCTTCCTTTTACTTTTTTTCCCACAATACCCCTCAGTTCTATACTCTCAATTCCGAATTGTATTTTAGTTTATTTTTCAAAAAATATTATTCGGTAGTGAGAGTGCCAAAGACATTCATTTCTTTAAGGAAAAGTACTAAGATATCGAACAAAACTACTCTTTTGCATGTTATATTTGGCACTAACAGTACCGAAATATTGTTTTTCTTTTATGTTTGGTACCAAGAATAGCGAGCTTCTGTTTGCTTATTTTTAATATTTATTCGGTACTCGTAGTACCGAATTTTGTTTAAGGCATGAATACGTTCGTACTCTCAGTACCTAACAATATTTTTGCAAAAACCACTTTTTGGGAGGGAATGAAAAATTTATCAAATTACCTATGAGAGATGTATTATTCAGCATTTTAGAAAGTCACAACTATTCCAATTCATGATTATGTGTCTTTTGAGAGGTATTTTTTAAACTAAATCATACAATATGGGTCAATTTTCAAATAGTTATCTCACATGGTTACTCTGATAAAATTTTCGAAAAAATACATAAAATTTAAATTTTTGGGGATATTTTATCTCAATAAAAGGATATTTAAGTTAATTTTCCTTATTTATTTTGCATAAAAATGAATTCATTTTATCATTTAACAGAAAAAAAAAAAAAGAAAAGAAAAAAGAAGTCATTTTACTATTTAATAGAAAAAATATTTTTCTACGATTTATTAAAAGAAAAAGTTTATATGAAGTCGATGCTCTAAAAACCAGTGGTTACTCAGCACGTCGGTCTAGAGAGAAATCACCGATTTAATATCAGCAAAATATTACCGATTCTCAATAGTAGACTAGCTAGCAGACAAACACAAGGCAGCCCCACCTCGCGCGTGCAAACAACTTAACGTGTGACACATCGCTTCCATGCCTCCACAGGCACGACAAACATCTATTGTGTTGTTATTTATAGAGCATTTTAGTGCTTTTGTCCTTCGATGTGGGACAAAATTAGAGTTGCATAACTAATAGCATGTATATATTTATTATAGCCTTGTAAGCACAATCTAACG